GCTCTGTACAGTTCCACATGATTCCTCTAGGCTTCACTAGCATAGAAACCTCACCAACTAGCACCGATCAGCTACACAAGGAAAAAAAAGGTCTTAAGAAGGAGAAGAAAGAAGAAAAGCTCTCTCTCACACTAGGAATAAGTTTTATAAGACCATTTTGAAAAGAAAAAAAAAAAACCTTTCTTAAACTCCTTAAACCTAAATATAGATTACTCAATCAACTAATACCGAGTCCAACCTACTAACCCAGTCCAAAATAGACCTACTAACATGAGTGTTACAAAATAACAAAGACAAAAACAATAAAAAATTACTAATAAATTATTATTGAAATATTTTTTTTATTAAAATAATTAAGTGTTTAAATAATTTCACATATCAAATACTCTATATTACAAATATTTCAAAAATAAAACTTGCCTCCTCCGTAAAGAAAAACACCAATTTCCAAATTTATATCATGTTGAATTTTATCCATAAATATAAATAATTTGGTCATTTCCAACTATTTTAATTATAATTTTATTTGCAGTCACAAAGAATTCTGAGCAAACTAAATATCCGCTCTCAAATCAACCAAACCAAATTTAGCATATGGTTGTTGTCATTAGCTGTCCCTTGAAAATGACGCTTTATAAAATAGACTTATTTTCTTTTTTGTCAATAATTAAAAGAAAAGGCTCAAATTTTTGATCGGTAAAAGACATTTTGAAAGCTTTAGTTCCAGAACTACTTTCAAGATAGCAAAAAGGAAAAAGAAAAAATAACCTTCTCCATAAAAACTGAAATTAACTTATATATAAGTTATTTTGTAAAAAACTTTCTGTTATTAGAAAAATTTATTTTAATTTTTCTTTCTATTTTTTTTTCTTAAAAGTGTTTATAAAGAAATTGATTGAAAAATGTCCTTAGTATTGTGCAATCAATTTATGGACTGGACCAAACAGTAACATTGTCATGTATACGAGGGGCAGGATTAAGTCTGGACTCTGAAAGGAACAAATCATATGGGCTTGAATTTTCTACGTTGGCCTTTATTTAACAAATAATAGTTCACTTCCAGTTTGTCACAATTGAAAAAAATAAAGGCTTTAGAACATCACATGGGCCTTCATTGGTGGTCGAAAATATTTGACTTATTGGTGGGATAATATCTTAAATATAACTCCAAAGAAGACAAAAGAGAATATTTAATTGAGAGACAAAAGAAAGTGAAAGTTATGAATTCTAATTTATAATAGAGAAATACTACTATATTCTAAGCCAACTCAATTTACATAATGCTAATTGTGATATATGTTTTCATATTATCTTCAAACAACTTATTTTTAATGATTGTACATAAAAATTAAGGGTGTCTTTATTTCAAGATAATGTTTTTTTTTATTTTAATTATAAAATTATCACTTATTTTTAATTTTTTTAAATAGTCAATTGGAAAATTGAGAAAATAAAAACAGTTGTTTTCATTATTTTTGTACGAATATTTGGAAACAACATAATAATTTTTTATTTTAAGAAATAAAATAAAAAATAGAAAATATTTTCTCAAAGTAAATGGCCTTAATATTTCCTTTTTTTGAGAGAAATATTTCCAAGGCTCTTTTTAAACACCTAAATGAATATATTGGGACAGTATTGTTGAGACAAAAGAAATTATTTCTTCATGTATAACGAGAACATATACAAAAAGAAAATACTATAAAAAATAGAGAAAAACTACATAAATTTATTTAACATAATTTAATTTTTCCTATCTATATCCACAATAATACTCCAATGAATATTTATTATCCCAAATTATATTATAAGTTTTATAAAAAAACTTGAAAAATATTATTACAAATTTTTTAACGAAACTTAAGAAACTTATCATTATACAGTCCATTTTATACGGTAAACAATTCTTCTCATTTAAAAGGACTATTTATTTATCTTGCATCTTTGAAAAAAAAAATTCCCTGATAAAAATAATATCTTCAATTTTAAACATCATCTCAATAAAAATAATAATATCTTTTTATATCTAAATAATATATTAAAAATTTGAATTACTTTTCAATATCCTCGAACCTGCACGTACATTCCCCATAGAGTCTTCATAATTCCACTTTGTATTTTATTTAAAAGAAAAAAAAAACTTAAAAAGATAAACATAGTCGTGATGTAAAGATTCATTAATTGTATTCCTTGTTGATAACTTGAGATTAATTAATCCTGTCCCAATGTTGTATCTTAGCTAGTTGCAAAAGTCTAGGTGCAAAATCCAGAGGTGTGGAAATGGAGGCTGATGTGAAGTGAATTATTAACACGAACTGAATGGCAGATTACAAATTTAGAATCCCTGAGCAGTATCATGAAGAGACAGCCATCTTAATAAAAAATTTGGTCCAAACCCTATCTTGCCAAGTCAACATGCAGCACTTGACCTTAATAGTGTGAATTGAACATGTTGGTTTCAAGAAGATAACAACAAAAATGGGGTGAAAATGTTTCAATTGTAGAGTCATGAACTTTGTTTTGAATGTTAAATATTAGACCATCCAAACAGATACGAATGGTTTTGCTTCCAATTTGGCACAATTGGTGGGGTTATGGTACACCTGACCACCTAACAACTTCCACTTTCACTTGGTAGTGACTAGTGAGCACATTGTACTTTTTCTCGGGTCCTTGAACTTGCCCAAGTTAATTTAATTACTAGTCTTTTCTCCCCAACTACATGTGTCCCCAAATCTCAATCCATATTGGGAATATATGATATACCTATCTTTCAAGCATCATCAACTAAACTTTAAGACCCTTTAAGTCCATATTCCTCCTCCTTATTCATGCATGCTAGCTCTAAGAGACAAGGAAACACCATGGTCAAAAGTGGGTCAAATAAGGAAGATTGAGTTGGAGTGAAGTGAAGAGGCAAAAGTGGCTTTAAAAGGGGTTCACAATAAGCTCTTAAGTTGGAGAACCCACATTGCCCATCCTCTTTTCAGCATGCCATGGCCCATCCAAGATGGATGCAATGCATCTAACCCCCTCATTAAACAATAGCAACAAATATGCTATAATCTCATTAATGCTTTCTCCCCTCAATCATTCACTTAATGAATTGGCAACATCCACAAGATTTTATGAATTCATTGCCTCAAGTGGGTTCCATGCACACTGTTTTCCCCTGGATTTGCCTTGTGCTTTGTCATGTTACTACAATTTGTTGCACTCACGCCTCGTTGCAATGGATAAGCTATTTCCTCGTTTTACCGACAAACGAGATTTTTAAACTACTTGTTGACAAAACATCTCCACTGGCTCAATTGACAACACTTTTATGTGAGCATAAAACATCAAGGGAAATTACTATTTTTCTTTTTCTTTTCCCCTCATCATAATCAACAAATTGTATAAAATTCACCAAAAAGTCGTTTCAAATATTATTGAATTAGGTCTTATTGAGATTGAGTTCGAGTCTAATAATAAAAAAATGGTTGAGGAAACTCTACTAGAGTGTTCAACAAGATTTCTCTATAAATATTTAGTATAAAAATCCTAATGATATTAGAAAGTTCAAGCTTCTAAGAGATACATCTGCCCCTTAACATGCATCCACCCCAAGAAACCAAAAAGGATAATGAAAGAAGTTATAAAAGAGAGATATCATTGTAAATAACATCTCTAAAGATCTAGTTTTTAACCGAACAGAACCGAATGAAATCATGTAATTTATGTAGCCGATCTCACCTTGCTAGAATAACACTTTTGTTGTTGTCTTCTTAGTACGGGTCCACTCCTAATTTTAATGCGTGGTTCCGATTTCATTAACAACAAGGTTCACCTTATCAAAAGTCTAAGTAGGGATTAGTCGACATACCCTAAAAAAATATTAAAAAGAAAAGCACTGTTTATTTTGCAACAACCAAAACATTAAAAAAACCTTCTTAATAATATTGTTGTTGCCGTAGGTCCTACGAGACATGGACCTCCTAATTGATTCATGATGCAAACAATTCAATCTGGGTCCATGTGTGGAACTTGGTAGAACAAGCTGAATCACGTGAATAGTTTTTCACAGTGGTTTTCGCAAGTTAAATTTACCAAGAATTTTAGCCAAATTTGGAATTAGTTATGTGCGATTTATTTATGTATGATTTTTATTCTCAACCACCAAAATGATATATGAATAAATAAACAGCCAAATTCAAATTCAACTTTTAGAATCTCAAAGTTCAGATTAACAAGTTACAAATAGACATAGACATCTATGGCAATTAACAAGGGAACTAGTACTTTGGATTTAAATGCTAAATTTGAAGTTAAAGTCTTGGGTTGTTGCTTTAGATGTTTACCAAAATTATTGATTTTGCAACCTTGATAACTCAAGTTTGTTTGTTAAAATGGATATTGAATAGGGGAAATAATTAGTTTCATCAAATTCAATAGTTTTTTCAATTAATGTCTCGACTGAAAATTAATAATCAGATTAATTATTAAGATTCGAGAACAATTTTATTCCCAATTAGTGATATAAAAAATATGAGCCTTTTCTATTCGGAAAATGAAAGATTCCTTCTACTCGCATGAACTTTTAAACTTTCACGTTGAGTGTAAATGTATCAAGCAATATTCATCATGAATGAATAGCCATACTATTAAATTCTTGCTGGATAATTATAATACAGTAACACTTAAATTACTGGTAATTGCAAGCATATCAAACATTTTTTTTATTTATAGATTTTTGCTTTATATTTGAAAATGTATGTAATAATTGTTTAATTGAGGTGAAAGTTGCATTACTCCCAAGAGTTTACATGCACGGTGGCAATCAACTAATTATTGTTTGATTAATTAATATCTAGCCTAGAGTGCACATGCTTCGGTCGTATACAGAAACGCATCACAGACTTCTTTTCTTGTTATTTATTTTTCCTTTTGGATTGTTGTTATTTGTGGTATGATTATTGGTGTCTGTGTATTTGGCCATACATAGTCAAATCTGCAAGTACTGCAACCACAAAATATATATATATATATGAAATGTAGACTCTAATTTTTTTATTAATTCATTTCTACACATGTCTGAAGGATTGTACAAGCAAGAATGTCCACTTGTGCTGGCAGCACATAGTGGAAACAAATTGATCTTTTAAACTTTGTAGAAAGTAAAAGAGCAGATGAAGAAGTGTGAGATCTCATGTCGTGTATTTATGGCTTCTGAGTTAAAACATCCAAAACTGAAGTCAAAGAGGCCATGTTGGTTGAAAGCAAGAAACTCCTCCATACCCTTCTCTCTTATATTTTGCTAACTCTTTTGCCTCGGATGCCCTTGCTCTCTGCCACAAGTGAATAAATAAATATAAGTTACTTTGAATAATTTGATCATCATATGTAACTACTCATATACCCTTGTTGACATCATCTAGCATATTGTATATATTCAATTCACCACCTCTTATATGACCTTATATTTATTCTTATCCATCTCAATAGTTTGTAACTTAGTATATATATTATTTGACAAGTTTTCATGTTTCTTAATTAACTACCACATAAAGTGAGCAATCATTAAAACCAACATATACTTTTTTTTTTTTTTTTTTTACATTAAATAAGACCATGGAATTTTTAGAAGTAGGTACCTGCATTGTTTCCAAAGCATCTGTCTCGGAATTGAAGTCATAAAAGGTGCTTGCTGCAGTAAGCTTCAAAGAAAGGAACTGCAAGAAAAGCCAAAAGTGAATTGGTATTAATATTAAGGCTATGTTATTTAAAAGTATTTTTTTATAAAAGAAAATGAACCTTCTTCTCTTTTTGACTTTTGATCCCTTACCTCTACTTGATGCTGCAAGGACTGCACATAGTTTATGATTTCATCCAACATCACTGCCATTCCCATGGTCTGAAACCATTAATGAGAATTGAAACATAAGAGTTTGGTCCATGAAGTTAGAACAAACATATTGGAGTTTTTAACGGAAACATGTCTTTACCTTGTAACATCCTGGAACAATGTTCTGCAAGCACCTTAATTTCTCGTTGATTTTCCCTCTTCTAACCTGAATAACAATAAATGATATACAAATAAGTATTAGTTAACGTTCATCAAGATCAAAGAGACAAGAAATATAGCCAAAGTGATTGAGTAATATATACACACCCTTTCTGCTAAACTGTGACTATCAGTAGCTTGACCTCTTCTGGCTCTAACATGAACCACTTCCTTTGCTTTCTCCTCATCTGTTACATTGTTTTTTACTCTCTTTCCTCTTCCAGAACTCTGAAATTATTCACAGAAAACAACAAATCAATGTCTGGCATAGTATTTTTTGTCTATGGACATGTTCGTGCCTCAAAGCTGACAACCAAAAATTTATCTCTAATCGCGAAATATAGCTTTGCCAAACATTTTTTTAAAGAATCGATTCTAGGAACACCAGGTCAACCCGTGTCCCTTAAAAGGCCTTACAAAACATGGTGCATGGCAAGAAATAATGGAGAAAAAAAAGAGAGGAAAGATAGTAGAAGAAATTTACATGTTTAATCTTGCTTCCAGTTCCACTGTCAGAAACTGCAGGAGTTGAGTTAGCTGAACTGGTCTCAGGAAGATCCATTGTTTTCCTCTTTTTACCTTCATGGAACTCGTTTTCTGCTTGGAAAATGGGGAGGGAAACAGGAAGTGAATTAAGAGAAGGGAAATTTTCTTCCAAGTTTCCTGGAAACTCAGGTTCTTGGGGACCCAAGAAGGTGTCACAGGAGAAAGGCATCAAGTTGTGCATAGTCAAGTTTGTGTTTTCGAGAACATGTTGGTTCATCCCTATGAATTGGTTAAGGAGTTCCATGCTTGGATCAATATCTAAGAAAGGAAATGAGGAGGGTCTAATGCTTTGCAAGTTTTCTGTGTATTCAGCCATGTGATTATAAATGAGAGAGTTTGTGTTTATGAGGTGGTTTAAGTGGTATTTGGATAATGTGGGTTACACTTGTTGTATTTATACTGTGGAATTGTGGCTACATTGGTTAATAGGGGCATTGTGAGGTGGCCACGTGGCACCTCAAGCTTGTGTAGTTTTTGTTCCCCTAGTTGGCCCCTTTCACAGGGAAAAATGTCCGATATCATTAAGGCTTTGTTTAGATTTGAGGATGGAAAAAAGGAAGTGGAAAAGGAGAGATTTAAAGGGAAAGTGAGTAGAAAGTGAGGTTGTTTGGATTAAGGGAAAGTGAGTGAAAAGTGTAGAAAAAGTATGTGAAAGTTTGTGAGTGAATTGATTGATGTGATAGATAAAAATAAATTTTTTAATTAATAATTATATAAAATTACTATTTTGCCCTTAAGTTAAAAAATTTATAATTATTATAATTAAAAGATAAATATATAAATTTTAATTAAAAAAATTATAAAATATTAATTTAAAAAAATTTAATTTAAATATTTACTTTAAATTTAATGATAGATAAAAATTATGCTGTATATACAACATAATCGATTATGCAAGGCTACATAATCGATTATGCTTCAACATAATCGATTATGTAAGGTCATAATCGATTATGTATTCTTGCATAATCGATTATGTTTCTATCGTATATGCTTTTTTCACTGCATGGCATACTATGCATGCATGCGAAAGGGTATTTTTGGGTTTTTATAAATTTTACGTGGTTTTCTTTTCCTTTCTTCGCACAAAAGTGAGGACGCGAATCACGCTTCTTCCTCCTTTTCTTCGCCTTTTCGTCGTCGCAAATCATCGGAAACGAACAATAAGTTTCTTCGCCTTTCTTTGCTCATGAATAGTAAATCCCTGGAAACAAACACTACCTAAGGGCCCATGTTTTGTGAGAAAAAGCACGCCTAGTTTTGGACCTTTTAGACTTTTTAATCTATGTTGTGTTGTGGTATCATTCCATTTTTAGTTGTAGTGGGAATCGGAAAAGTGCACTTGTTTAGTGCTAAAGCATGGCCATGGTGCAAAATCTTCCAAAATATATCACCTTTCTCCTTCCTTATTTTCTGAGCACCATAACTTGTATTTCCTTTTTGTGATTATCTTTTCAAGTCCAGAGTGTAGAACACAATGGAAAGTAATTTGAACCATTTTTTCAACCCCTAGCTCATGGTGCATGAATATTGCATTAGCTACTTTCTTGGTTTCAGAATGTTATACATGAGATCATTTTTTTTTCTCTTCAAATCAGATAGATCGGTCAGTTATGAGTAACAAAATTTTCCCTCTATTTAGCAAAGTTATATTTTCAGAGTTTAAACTCAAGATCATTAATCAAAACAAATTCACATCAGTTAATTTATGCGCTCAGCTCAATTATTTTGCTAATTTCTGGAAAATATGAACAGTGAGGGCTTATTTGATCACTAATGTTTTTAAATTTAAGATACAAAATTAAAATAAAAAATCCATAGAAAAATATAAGAGATTATAAAAGAAAATACATGTAAGCTAGATTAATTTGAGTAAAATCTAACATTATAGATAAAAAAAATTTAAAATCGTAAAATATATAGTTAATTTAAAAATGTGAAATTAAAAAATAATATGTATTGTTATTTAAAAAAAGTATTACAAAACATTTAACTATACTAAAATAAATCAATTCTATATATTAAGAATACTTGTGCGTACTTCCTTGTTACGAAGTTATATATAAATTAGTTTAGCCAATAAATGTTTTGTTATATATATATATATTAGTAAATATGTATTTTTTCTTATATTCATCGTGAATATGATTTAATAAAATCTCTTCTCTTAATTACATTTTTTTATATTTACAACATGAACTTGAGATATTTCTTTTAAAAATTCATTCAAGTATCGCTAAAATCAAGTATATGACGGTAAATATGTGTCATTCCATTCATCCCATGATAATCATAATTTTAACATTTGAAAAATATTTTAAAATAAATAATTTTATTATTTTTAATATAATATTACTTATTTATTTTTTCAATTTTACTTCTTCATAAATTATTCATCATCAAAATTATAAACAATTCATTTATTAAGGGGAGGAATTATTTGAGTAAGAGGGTATAAATTTTTTTTGATACATAACTTTAATTTCTGTGTAAAAACTAAACACTAAAAATCTTAAATCAGAGTATTTCTGAATAGCAAAAGTGTTAAATATTGTACCAAACCAATCAAATTGATTGTTACCTACGTCACTAGTCACTCTACCGCGGTATTTGCAAGCGTACGAGAATTGTAGCCATAAAATTGTAGATAAAATAGTGTCCCAATGAGATCATTGTTGCCATTAGTGCGTCGGGTTGATTACATTTAGACTACTACATATTATAAATGTTTTTAACACTCATGTTCAATAATTTGTTTTATTGGTTATATATATGGCTCAAACTAATTTAGGAATAAGATATAAGGTAATTTATATATTTTGAGACGAAAAAGTTTCACCTTATAAGAATAAGATTGTATCAAAAAGTGTTAAAGATGTTATTAAAATTAATATTTTAGTCTAAGTAATTTAGTGATAAAATATTTATTATAGATAACTAAAATTTATAATAAATTATATATACAAATAAATATTATGTTTGAATAAATAAAT